ATCGACTACGAAAATGCACTTCATTTAGTTAAGCATCAGGCGGGGGTGGAGGGAGGCGTGAAAATGGGTGGATGCAGGCTGTGTTCGGTTCGTTACATTTAATGCCTCAATATTAATTATTTTTGTAAGAGTGTTTGAAAAAAATTTGATTAAAACAAAATGTTAATTGTTACTTAATAATGGGAAAACCGGAGCAGAGCTCCGGTTTTGGCTCTCAAAACCGGTTTTCAATAATCGTAAAATTTTGGCCGATTTCCGGTTTTGCGCAAAACCGGAAAACCGGTTTTACATGCCCTACGCGAGCGCAAACGACGAGAGAGCTGTCAATGGCGCCTGATTAACCGACTAAACGTAATACACGCTACTTTCATTGTCGCGCTACATCTTAGTTGTACTCTTTAATTTGACAACATTATTTTGCTTCGTTCTTAAAGAAGGGTTTTGTTTACCTGGGATTTTAGGCTCTTTATGGTGTCTATTGTAATGAAATATTATATTATTTAATAAATGTTATTAAAATTAATATCCTCAAGCAGATATATATAATATTTACTAAGAAATAAGTGAAAAGGAACAGAAACATAACATTTAATAGAGAAAACTGTCGTAAAAAGGGAAACAATTTTATTTTCTTATGAAGTATTTTGAATCATGGAAATGTCAACTATAAAGAACTCTTTTTATGGTTTGTTTACAAATAGTTAACTACCTAAACAGACGGATGCGGTCTGCATCCCTTTTAATTCATTTTTGTGATTTAATAATGCCCCAAATGCCAAAGATTTATGATTTAATACTTTTGAGGATTTTATTAAATCCTAAACCCGAATACCCGATCACGGTATTTTAATTCTATTTTATTTGAAACGAAAATTCTATTTAGTTACACTAATGAGTAGTTGGCAACGTTTCTACAAAAACAGAAAGCTTTTTAATGATGCATGTTGCGAGGAAATGACCTATTTTTCCTCGCTGGCCCTGTGGGAGAAAGGTCGCAGTTTATTGATTGGAAATGTCATTGTAATGGATAGTTATAACGTGTTTGTTATACTTTCGTGCAGAAACATTCTTTTCAATGGATTGTTCATAGGTATTGGCTTCCTGTTAAGGACTGTAATGTTCAGTGTACTAACAAAAATATGACAAACGATGTGCCCAAACTAACGGCCAAACCGACCTTCCAAATCTTGGTTCAAGGTCGATCTAGATTTTGGACAAAAATTGAACATTATGATCTGTAATTGATTTTGGCCGTAAGAGACTTCAAAGCTTAAATCTAGAGTCAATGCGTCTACCATTTTTGGACTTGTTTTTTATCGTTTGGGATTATACCCAGTCATAATAATTTGCTAATCGAATGAGTTTCAAGGTACTGCGCTCTGCTATCTATCTGAAGCTTTCGCATGGGTGAACCAATGCTGCTAATCAGACCCATTGAACCAATATAGAGTTTAATTCTACTTCGAGTTATATGTTCTTTTTAAATTCTATTTAAAATTGTCATTTGCGATAAGGTAATATATATTTGTAATATAAAGACTAGGTATTTTTTAATCTTATTTGGCCGATATGTATGATTTTAATTAATTTTCTATAAGGAAATTGATTATGATATGCGTGAGACTAAAAAGTCTGTTAAAGTCTGTAAAGTTACAAAAGTAAATGATCTGCTTGAGATTTTTCCGAGTGAGGTGGTTGGTTTTTGATTAAATGTTAATGATTTAGCTTGAAAATTAACCGCTAACTACTTCAAATCACATAAAAAGTCAATTTAGGAGATAAACTACGTTTCGGATAGACATAGTTGTTCCACCTAAGATACAAATGAAATGAGCTGTTAGCGAAAAACATTAATGGTTTTCCTTTTACGTATACTGAACGAGTAAACAGTGTTACCAAGTTATTATTACTACAATGGCGCTTGATTATTCCGCATCTACGAGTAACTAAATGAATAAACGGCGCCATCGTTCATTTGCCGGTTAATTATTTACGACCAGTCCGGCATCGCGCGACGGTGCGTGCAAACGTGTTTTTAGCATTTATCTCGATATAAAAACACTCGTTTTTGTCGTGTTTTCGCGTGCACATACTTGGGAGAACCAACAGGTATTGTCCCGAAGGTTGTTTCGGTGAAATTTTTGGACCTTGTTTGTGATTCATTAGAGTTCATTTTTGTGGTGTACTTTTTTCAAGAGGTCTGTATTTTTAAGTGAAACTGTCTCTTAATTGTAGTGATTAGTTTTATTAGTACTGATTGTTTGCCCGCTTTTACTACTTTGAAGTCACCAGTCCAGGGGATTGTTTATGTCTATTATGCATAATCGAGTTAGGTTTTTTTTGCAAGTGGTGAATAACCTAGCTATTTATTGTTTACATACAAGCGTACAAATTACGTCTGTCTCACATCTCGCATATAGAGATAAAGTCATGTTTTCATATTACTAACACGTGTTTCGTCGATATTTATCATCTGTCAAAGCCGGCTATCCGGTTTTGATAATTATTAATTTAGCCCTTTTACGTCATAAATGAATGTTGTTAAATTATTGCCGTAGCCAACCTCTGCCAAAATCTTTTCTTGGTCAAACACTTCTTCTGTTGCACTTGATGTTGCTATACCTTCCAAATCAGTCTATTTTCGGCTGATGATTTATTTATCCTTTATTTACTGTTATTTCACCTTTAATCAAGGTTATGGTCAGCACAAGTCTTTTATGTACCGTAGTTTATGAACTAGAATCTGTATTGATAGATCAGTCAATATAACAAGGATCCACCACCACCATGTCTTCCACTACAAAAATGAGAGATAATGGAATGAGTACAATGCGGCTGTCTGATTCATTGCTAGACCGATGGCGCTTCTAACTTTTAGATAAGTCGTCTCTGATTCATGTCCAGACTGTTAAGATTTCTGATAAGTGATATCCATAGTAACTGTCATTGCTGTCTTCACAGTTACCGATGCAAACTTGTAAGGCATGAAAGAATCTTCGGTCACCCATCCATGTACTAACCTTGCCAAACGCACGACTCTGACTTAGCTACGCACTTTGATAAGATTGACAGTAGTTTAATGTAAATTACCTATATTATGATGTATTTCCGTACATAACACGTTTCGAATTAAAATGCCTTCCGGTTTTTCTCACGGCCAACAATGTTTCTTGAAGATTTTCTCATAATATTAGGTATTAACTATTATTATGTTGAGAATGTTATGACTTTTGAGCCTAATCAAGATATTGTTTTATGCGACAGAATTAGATTGAAGGCTGTGTTGTGTCTAGTTGATCGAGGTTATATTCCTGAGATGGGTAAAACGATGACTTTTTTATAGAATGTCTTTGGTTGGTTTCTTTTATGCCCAATTAGCTGTTGTCCGCGTAGAATTGATTCCTGTTTTATGCCATGGGAGCATTTAATCGAGATAAAATCCTATCACCTATGTCAGCCCATACTTTGCCTGTATACCAAATTTTATCAAGATCCGTTCATAGTTTCAGCATCAAACTTTCACCATTATAATTTAGTGTGATGTATGGTATGGTGATACACTCTCTCTTCACCTCTTGACTATCGTTGTTGTATGAGACACAATTAAAATGCACAGGATTTTGTAGATCTGCATTCCTGCAGCCAAGGGCTTAAGTTTAGTACAAAGTATTCCTTTTTAAAAGGCACGCACCTGTGAGTTCTCTGGTGTTGCGGGGCTTACCATCAGGTGACCCGAGTGCTCGTTTGCCTCCTAATCCAGAAAAAAAATAAAACTGATGACAACAAGCGAAAAGTGTTCATGTAGGTCTTAGGCGTAGTAAACATGGTGTCTTTTTTTTAACGGGGGAAAATCATCGAATGTCTGCTCCCGCCTGGGTGAGACGGGAGGGAAGTGTCAGACTCTTACTGAGTAAAAACCACCCCGTTCCTTCTCCTGCACGTCGAGCCGGAGCCCCGGTTACCCGTTAGAGGATTTTGTTATAACACAATAACCGTTAACAAAGTTGACACATTACATTTCCACCCTGTAACTTTCCGTCCATCAATCAATTTTGGTACTTGTGTTGTTGTCTTTTATACACAAAGTGCTTCATTAATTTGATTGGATTGAAGTATATTATTGAACTTGAAGTGATGCCTCAAACATGTTGTACTGTCTGTCATTTCGTTGGACATGTCACTGTGTCAAATAGTTCGATAAAGGTCACTTTAATTCGGGTCTACACTTGAAAATTTCCTTTGATCCGCCCTATTTTGTTTGAAATTGGGACATCATCCTTTCAATGTTTCTGAGAAGGAGATTTCGGTACTCCAAAAGCAGCTGTGAAACGGTTAAAATTAAAGGCGAGGTTGGAGTTAACTTTTACTTGCTTATCATTTTTGTGCTACTGGATATACTATTTTTTTTAAGGGGGTAATCGTCGAATGACTGCTCCCGCATGGGTGAGGCGGGAGGGAGTGTCAGACTCTTACTGACTAAAAACCACCCCGTTCCTTCTCCTACACGTCGAGCCGGAGCCCCGGTTACCCGTTAGGTTCTCCGCGACAGTGGATATACTCATAGAGCTCCATCTTCAGCTCTTCGTATGCAACTACATTTGGCATCTTTGGAAATGTCGTTATTCCACTTATTTGGAAGTTGTCCTACGCTACGTTTGCTTAGCGTAGTTTCTTTTTCAAATGATTTCATCCAATGGTCTCCGGTTTTCTGAAAAATGTCGTCTGCTGACTGCCATTTGGTCATTTTGGTTCTTAGTTGGATCGCCCCGAAACTTTACACATTAAAATTCTCCATTATATAGTATACGTAATATTGTATTCCGTTGAAATTGTACCGAGTAACAAATATGGCGTCTCCGAATTTGCCATTCATGTTATAAAAGAGTTGAAACTTCATACATTGTGTAGAAAAATCAATTATGTGTTATTAACTTAAGATTTCGAATTGGTTGCAGCGAAATTCATAAGCCATTTATTGTGACATGAAATGTTTTTTGCAGCATTCCACGGAGGAGGGGGGCGGGGGGCGGCGTGGGTTGATCGACGTGAGCGCAGGCGCAGGCGACATGTGGATCAGCGCCGTCGAGAGCTCCATACTGGCCTGGGAGGAGGTAAGTTCTAGACTACTTTTGAGAATAAAAGGACTAATTCTAAACTACTTATAATTGTATAGATGAATAGTACAAAGAACAAAATGTATTGAAAGATTAATTGATTAGGTGTTCAAGGAAGAAAAAGAGAAAAAACTATGATTGAGAAAGTGTAATAATACTCAGCCTACTGATGCACTATGGGCTTCCTCTACATAAGGGGGTTTGAATTGATATAACCTTTATGCTTCGCAGGCAGGTTGAAGATCGTAGTTTAAAAGGTTCTCGTTTATCAGAGAGCGCTGCTGTCCAGTTTCAGTTCCTTAACTGAGACTGGACAGCTGCTCAATTACTAAAAGATCAAACAAACCAACAAGTTATCACTCTACGGCTTGTTTGCTCACGGAAATGAAAAACTCGATCATATCGACGTATCACGCAATATCGAAAGAAATCGTGTTCCTTTTTGTTACTGTATCGATCGATTAATATCATAATATAGAATCGTTCTATCACGCTATATGAACATTTTTTATAGTTGTATTTTAGATTTAAGAGTATTCGTAGACATTGTATTGTCTAATGGCTTAATGAATCATTATTTTATTGGTAATTGCTTTACCAAGAATATTGTGGAATTCGTTAAGATAGATTTGTATTCTTATTCTAGTTAAGACAAATACTTAGACTTTTTTCAACAGTTGTAAGAACAATAAGGTCCCGAAAAAATTTACGGCCTTTACTAAAACACCTGATGCTTATAAAATACATAATGAGACGTGAATTTAATACGAATAAAAAGAGCCAAAATAAGCAAGTAATAATTCTATTATCGTGATGACTTCCTTATGGGGGATGTCAAAGGGTTTCCTAAGGTCTGCAGTTCTTGTTACTCAATCAAAATATTTATAAGTACTTAAGCCATGTGCTTTCACGGAATGATAGGATGATTTCCACATGCCAATGATGACTGTAGTCTTATCTTTATAGATATTCAAGTGGTCTAGATAACAATTCGTAATCTTTTGGACATACTATAAAACTAGACACTGCTTACTGATGTGTCTTCTAAAATGATATTGGAATGACGTCACGTCACGGTAGAGGAGTACGGTTTAGTTGAGTGTCTCCCGCTACGCATCCTATAAGAGCCTCCTATTAGTATTAATCGAATCTCTTGTCGCTGCACTATAATTGGGACATTTGAAGTTGCGTAGAACCTAACGGGTAACCGGGGCTCCGGCTCGACGTGCAGGAGAAGGAACGGGGTGGTTTTTAGTCAGTAAGAGTCACTTCCTCCCTCCTCATCCGGACAGGAGCAGTCATTCGATGATTTTCCCCTCTTTTAAAAAAAGCCAATTCCTATAAGCCAGGATCTACAGTAGATTTAACATACCGGAACACTGAAGTCCGGCGCGTCCCAGGAACATGAACCATGGATCCTGCAACGAAATAAACGAGAAGATATTAATAGAACATTAGAAAACTACATATTGTAACTTCTGGTGTTGTGGATGTCCCTAAACGCCGTCGATTGCTCACGTTGGGTGGTCCAACTGCTCACTACCCACCATAAGCACCTTCCTTGATAGTCGCGTCTGCAACCACGCCAATAACAATGAGGGAACTTCTTCTTCTAATTCTTCTGTTTTAATTTTTCAATTTAATGTTTTTATTACTTTCACTGTTTCACCTTTATTGTCTTTCTTATATTTTATTTATGCTGCATCGTGCCTGGTGCTGAATAAATGGTTTTTCCTTTCTTTCTTTATTTTTAAAAGAATGAAATTATCTTATCAATCTCTATGTATTATGTATCTATCTTTATTGGAACTGTCGGTCTGTTTGTTTATGGGCAATGAATTTGAGTGGGTTTCCGATTGAATTGAATTGATTTGATCTATTGTTAGATATGATATTTTCGCCTTGGTGCTCGAGTGGTTATGAGTGCGCGGGAAGTCTAGAGTTTGATTTCTACATTGGGTAGCGTTAGCGTTAGACCCGTGTAAAGTTTTATAATTAAAATAAGATTTCATAGTAGGGTAAGTTCACCAGTTCGGTCCATTTAACGCTTAAAACGTGAAAAGGTCAAACAGATGTGTACTAAACGCTATTTATATGGTGTTTTCTTATTTTCTGGATTTGTTAAAGGGCGTTCCGTAACATGGACGTGAACGGGCGAACTTACCCTACCAAGTTTAGAATAAAATTGTGCTAGCTGTGTTATAATATAGTAGGTGTGATGATGTACATTCTGCCTAATCCACTTCACATTAGGGAAATAGTAGCGTAAAATTTCAATATCAACGACATATTTACCTATATCAAGAATTGTAGCACTCAGCTGATTAAAAGTAAACATATGGCGATGATGATTCATTATTTATTTGTAACTGTCAAGCTGTCAATATCTATACAGATAAATGAAATTGGTGTCTCTGTTTGTAATATTAAAATAACCGCTTTTTAGTACATGCATATGAATAAACATACGATACACAATACCAAAATAACATTTTTTACTATTTTGTCTGTATGTCTGTTTGGCTGTACTGGCTAATTTCTAGAATGGCTGGACCGATTTTGCAAGGCTTTTATTAACATGTAGCTTATGTACTAAGTAGTAACATAGGCTACTTTTATTTAATTTAATAAGTCGCCGGCGACAGTTAGTATTTCATATACCATAATAATAAGTGATGAGTGTTAAGACATTTTCAGTTTATGTAAAGTGTACGATAAAATATTGTTGGTGAAATAATGGTAGGAGACGGGTTGCCTTATGTAGGGTTCTGTGTTTGTTCTGAAAAGTTTTAGGAATATATAGGTTGCTTATGGGTCGACGTGCTCCATCGTAGACTGCATCATCGCTTACCACCAGGCGAGATAGTGGTCAACCGTCAGCCCATCAAATTAAAAAAAAATATGAGATTTGTGTTTGCCAAAGCTGCTAAAAGTAGCATTGTAAACAGATGATGTCTGATTATGAAGTCAATACAGTAATGTAACGCCTGTAATATCGTTAAAAAGGCTAATGCACTCGTATTTCGGTAGTTATACTACTCAGTCAACAATTATAGTCATAGGTAGTTGCATTGTAAAAAGACGGAGTAAATTAAAATATTTAAAACGTCCATGGTTAAAACTATGTAACTAGATAATTGTATTGTAAATTTTACAACGGCAAGTACCAATGTGACTTTTTCCGAGTTATATGTACTTTCTAAGATTATTTAGACACCACTGACAAACGGTGAAGGAAAAACATCGTGAGGAAACCTGGACTTATAATTTCTAATTATAAGTTTGAAATCGCCAACCCGCATTGAGCAAGCGTGGTGATTAATGCTCTAACCTTCTCCGTGTGAGAAGAGGCTTTGGTCAGCAGTGGGCATTTAGAGGTATTTTTTTTTTTTTTTTTTTAAGGGGGGAAAATCATCGAATGACTGCTCCCGCCTGGGTGAGGCGGAAGGGAGTGTCAGACTCTTACTGACTAAAAACCACCCCGTTCCTTCTCTTGCGCGTCGAGCCGGAGCCCCGGTTACCCGTTAGGTTCTCCGCGACTCCGAATCGGCATCGGCCCTATTGGGCCCCATCTGTGGTGGTCTGATGGCTCTTTGAGGCGCGCGCGGAACGCGACGCGCCGTACGCTCGGGTCTGTTTCTGGTCGGACGGGGAGCCACCCATGCTCGCCGTCCGCAGGCCCGCGCTTACGGTGGCCGGAGATCGTCTCGCGATCCCCGACGCCCGGTGTGTCCTTCGCGATGGCTGGGTTGCGAGGAGGCAGCGCTTCGCTGCCTCACGCGTCCCGCCTCCTCCTTAGCTAGCATGACTGCTTCGCAAAAGGAGGAGACGGCATCCCAATCCCCCTCGCATTTAGAGGTATAGGCTGTTGATGATGATGATTGTAAATTTGATAGAATAAGAGTATGAGTCTTATGGAGTTTCTTGCTCGGTCTTTTCTATAGGAATCACCTTGGATTGAGGAATAGCTTCACTTGAAATTGTTTTGTTGACGTTAAAAATTTCCTTCTTGATCTAATTTAGGAATATTTAGGAAAAAACATTTCTAAAGAATAACTGTCTCTATGCTGTTTAATAAAGTTTTATACAATTCGAATGATCGATAAAACATCGTTTAATCTAAATAGTGGCACTATTCGATTGTCACCGGTCAATCGATCGTAAAGCGAGAATGGACGACGTGACGTGTGGAAAGCAATTTGTATATAAAGTTGTATCAAATTGTGTATAGGAAATTAGGTCGCGATGAAACGTATGAACAGTGGTATTTAGACTGATTTATAGTTTTTTTAATACAAATCTGTGCTAATTACGTACCTACCTCGTTTCTTGCTCCTTTTGTCAATAGTACGAGGAATTTTATGTAAGAAATTGAAAAAAATATGTAAATTCTGTATTTTTCAGACAGAACAATGATCTGTTTTATGTGTGTACATACATACATACGACTATGTCTATATTCCGGGCGTTAAACGATAACCGAGGGGAACTAATTCCGGCTGCGAATATAATCACACATAGAAGCTCTATACTAAGTTCCTGTACCTATATATTAGACAAAAATATTGTAGATCAGATGTTTTTTTATACTTAATTACAAGTGTGGGAGAGCCATGCTTCGGCATGAATGGGCCGGCTCGACCGGAGTTATACCACAGCCTCACAGAAGACCGACGTGATACAACGTTGTGTTGTGTTTCGTCGTGTGAGTGAGGTTACAGGATGCCCAATTAACCCCCCCCCCCTTTCCCCAATCCCTGAATCCCCAACATTCCTTAAATTCCTAATTAAAAGGCCGGTAATGCAATTGTAACGCCTCCGGTGTTCCAGGTGTCCATGAGTGACGCCGATTGCTTACCATCAGGTGATCCGTCAGCTCGTTAACTCGTCGAGTACCGGTTTTATAGACACAATTAAAGAACAATAGGTCGCGGTCACCGGTGACCGCTTGGTGTTTGACAGTTTAACCGGCTTATCCCATAAAAAAATCAGATTTT